GCGTGGTCAGTAGGCTTCAGTTCTTGAGTCAATTGAACTTCGTAAGCATGAAGAGGCAAATCTTTCGTGAGAATACGCTGTAGAGAGCTTCTCAAAATGTCCAATTCTTGACCACAGTGCCGAATTGATGTCCCTGGATTCTCGGCAACACTCTCACGAACTGCTTCAATGTTTTGTGTTGAACGACTTGTTGAAGGACAGCCAGAGTGTTTAAGATCACTAATTGATCCAGTCTCCCTAAATTTTTTAATCTCTTCACAGTTGATGAAGTTAAATCACTATTCCGACCATATTTTGCACGAAAATTGTGAACTGTAGCTGCCAAACCTTCATTATTTTTAAAATATTGCTCAACAATGAAAATGCGTTGTTCTTTCGTGTAGCGCTCCATTTTTAATAACCCTGAACTGTCAGCTGTCACGCTATCTTTTTTTTCGTTGGCAACACTTTACGGCACAAGTGGCGTAAAATTCAAATCTTGAGTGAATTTTGGGACACCCTTTAGAAGCTCAGTGAGTGTGTTGAATATAACAAGAACAGAATGGGTGGCTGAGGTGGCTATGTCACATGGGACCTGCTGAGGGTAGGTGCTTTTGACTTGGGCTTTCCCCCTGCAGGTGTCACTGGAGAAGGTGCTTGGCATCACAGCCCAGAACAGCAGTGGCCTAACCTGTGACCCCAGCACAGGCCACGTGGCCTACCTAGCAGGGTGAGTGGATGGGCCTTGGTTTTTCCATCTGTAGAATGCAGATAATGCTGCCTACCTCTGAGGGCTGTGGAGAAGATTCCATCTGTATCTACAACAGTACCTGGCATGTAGTGAGCACTATGAAAGCCTTATTGTGACTGCAGGTGGGAGATGGCAGTGATTATGGGAAAGACAGGTGATTAAAACTCAAGCCATATCAGACAACCTGGATTTATGTCCCAGGTCCACCCTGTGCCCCTCTCTGAGCCTCTGCTTCTATGGTTATAAAACAGAAATAGTGATACCCTCCTCTTGGATTGTTGAGAGTACTGAAGGACATTGTGCAACTGTATATTGCACAAATACCAATCTAGTCTGACACTGTTCTGGGCACCAAAGGGTCCCCACTCCAACCCTCATAGGGCAGGGCAGACCCATGGTCATTACTAATGAACATGAATCTGTTAGTCTTGGGGAAGTAAGCAATCCAAGATAAAGGACAGGGGCGGGCTTTTGAATCTGACAGGTATAGATTCACATCCCCACTCTGTCCCAGACCTACTGGATAGCCCTGGACAAAGGACTTCCCCTCTCTGGGCTTCAGTTTCCTCCTCTATAAAATGGGACGAAGATTCCTGACCTTTTCTGGCAGTTGTAAGGATTTAAAGAGATCGTGCACACAAGTCTTTATTAGCCCAGGGCCTGGAAGGATAATTACCACAGAGGAAGTGTTGGTTTCTATTTAAGAATGTTTTAATGATAAATGTGAAGTACCCTAGAATTCTCAGCATAGACATCTGGAAGAGGAGGTAAACAGAGAATCTTCTGCTCAGAGGGAGCCTTTTTTATGTGTGAGCTCTCTTCTGTTGGGGACAGAATATCCCTGGACCCCAGTACTCCCCTCAGTTTGGGCACATTTTCTTCTTTCTCCTCAGCTGTGTGGTGGTGATTTTGGACCCCAAGGAGAACAAGCAGCAGCACATTTTTAACACTGCCAGGTAGGCTGGGGCCTGGGCATGGGCAGGAGTGGAACCCTGGGAGTGCTCATGATTAGGTGACTAATTCATTCACTCACCCATCAGTTTAGCAACATTAACCAAGTGTCTGCTCTGTGTTAGGTATTATCCCAGGTGCTGGGGTCACAACAGTGAACAAAAGAGATGAGAATCTTTGCTCTCTGTAGAGCTGACAGCTCAGAGAGGGAGACAGACTAAAGTCAATTGGCTAGCAAGCCCGCTGTGACCATTGCTATGGGGAAATGACAAGGGATGTGTTAGGGCAGGTTTATAGGCAGAGAGTAGGGGATAAGCCATATCAGAGAGCTCTGGAAAGGCCTTCCTGAGGCTGAGACCTGGAGGAAGTGAGGGGGAAACCCATGTGAAGGTGAGGGAAAAGCATTTCAGGCAGAGGGCAAAGGCTAAGAACCTCGGGTTGTTTGAGGAGCAGCCAAGGATCCACGTGCTTGGAATAGAGGTGTGGGTGGGGGGAGATGAGGCAGGAACAGGCAGAAGCCACATCACTTGGGCCTTAGGGAGGGGGTTGGATACTGACTGCAAAGAGAAGCCACTGGAGGGCATTTATTTATAGGTTAAGGATATGCTTTTTACACCCTAACCTTCCAGCATCCTCAGTCTCCCTTCCCTGTTTTACTTTTCTCCACAAAAGGTACTTCTTTCTCAATATGCAACAAAATTTCCTCACTAATGATATTTACTGTCTGTCTTTCTTCCATGGTGTGAATTCTCTGAGGGCAGAGACTTTCTCTTAGTGAATTTCTATGTCCCTTTCACCTAGAGCAGTATTTAGCACATTGATGGCACTTATTTCAGGAATGAATGAATGTGATTTAGAAAGATCCCTCTAACTGCTTGTTTACTGGGGAAGGCCCTTAGCTCTGAGTAGGCCCATGTTGGTGTCCAGGGGTCTGCCTTCGGGTTGATTGATCACTGTGCCATCCAACAAATGGCATAGAAAGGGTCCACTCTCAACCACTGATTAGTCCAGGGGTGGGCAAACTTTTTGACTCGAGGGCCACAATGGGTTCTTAAACTGGACCGGAGGGCCGGAACAAAAGCATGGATGGAGTGTTTGTGTGAACTAATATAAATTCAAAGTAAACATCATTACATAAAAGGGTACGGTCTTTTTTTTTTTTTTTTAGTTTTATTCATTAACAAACGGGCCGGATCCGGCCCGCAGGCCGTAGTTTGCCCACAGCTGGATTAGTCTGTCTTAGTAGGCGGTGTGGCCAGAGTAGAGGTTTTCACCCAGCTGCATTTCAGAGTCACCTGACCCCTGGGCCTCACTCCCAGAGAAGGCCTAATCCTTGGCCTGGAGTGAAGCATGGGTATTGGGAACTTTAAAAACTCTTTATATTAAAATTATTTTATGATTTTTTTTTGTTAATCCTCACCTGAGGATATTATTTCCATTGATTTTTAGAGAGATTGGAAAGGAGGGAGGGAGGATATGGGGGTGGGGGCGAGAAATGTCAGTGTGAGAGAGACACATTGATTGGTTGCCTCCTGCACATGCTCCCACCAGGGCCAGGGATTGAACAGAAACCCAGGTATGCACCCTATACTGGGAATCGAACCCTCCACCCTTTGGTGCACAGGTTGATTCTCTAACCACTAATCAACACCAGCCAAGGCTAAAATAATTTTAGACTTAACAAGACTAGTACAGAGAGTGTTTGTAAACCTTTTACCCATATTCCCCAAATGTTAACATTTTATCACATTTGCTTTATCATTCTCTGTCTATATACATATTAATTTTTCTCTGAATCATTAGAGAGTAAATTGCAAGCATGATGTCCCTGTATCTCTAAATACTTCGGCTTGTATTTCCTGGGGGTGGGGGGCGGGGAGGAATGATATGGTCCTTTAAAACTGCAATACATTCAACAATATCAGGAAATTAAAACTGATACATCACTACCATCTACTCCTCATTCAGGTTTCACCATTTGTCCCAAGAATGTCCTTTATAGCAAAAGGATTCTGTCCAGAACTATGCATTGCTTATCATTGTCTCTTTAGTCTCCTTCAGTCTGAAGCAGTTCCTCCATCTTTTCTTGACTTTTATGACTTTGACACTTTTGAGGATTACAAGCCAGGTAATTTGTAGGATATGCCAACCTTTGGGTTTGTCTGATGTTTCCTCATACATAGATTCACGTCTACATCTTTGTCAGGAACACCTCAGAAAGAATGCTGTGTTCCTCTCAGTACATTCTATCAGGAAGTTCATGATGTTGATCTCTCTCATGACTGGTGGTGTTCACTTTGAGCCCTTAATTAAGGTGGTGTCTGCCAGGCTTCTCCATTATGAAGCCTCTCTTTTCCCCTTAGGGCTGCTTCTCTGAAACTTTGCAGATATTACCCTGTTTCTCACCAAACTTTTACTCACTAGTCTTAGCATGGCTTTGACATTTTTAAAAAGCTCCCTAGGGAATTCTGACATGCAGCCAAGACTGAGAACCTCTGGCCTACAGTCCAGGGCTCTGCCCTGTATGGTTAGGTGTCCTTGGGCAGGGGACTTCCCTATGTTGAAGTTTCCTCATCTCAAAACTGACTAATGAGTGTCCTGACTTCATGGAATGTGTGTAAGGAATCAGTGTACTGATGCCCATATAGCATTTGACAGAGGGCTGGGCACAAGGTCAGGACACATGATAGTCAGGAGTACTTGCAGACAATAGAAAACCCACAACGAACATGGTTTAAACACAAGGGCATGTTCTTCCTGCACATAAGTGTGGAGGTGGACACCCAGGGGGCTGGTGTCTCTGTGGCATTAGGGACCCCACTTCTGTCTTTCTGTTCCACCATGCTTATTGTGAGGCTTCTGTTCTTGAAGTCACCACTTGACCCAAGATGGAGTTCTGGTTGTCATGTACTTTCTTCAGAAGGGGAACAAGTGGGGAGCAGGACAGAATTCCCTTCGAGAAGCTTTTCTGGAAATTGCAACAGCACCTCTCATTGGCCAAACTAAGTCATGTAGCTGTACCTGTGTAGCTACAAGTGAGTGAGGAAATGTACTCTAGCTGGAGACATTGCCAACCCAATTAAAACTGATATTCTGTGAGTGGGGAAGGAGGGGTGAGTTGCTATTAGGTAGCCAGATCACCTTTGTTGCTGTAGGAACAATGGGAAGCCATCAGAGGGTTGAGTTGATGATAAATGTTCTATAAGATTGTCAAAGACTTACTGAAAGACTTAGTTATCTGCACACCAGTTTACTCATGTGAGGGAGACAACTACTAGACTGTTAAGGAAGAGATGTAAAAACAGCATTAAAAAAAAAAAGAGGAGAGAGAAAAAAACAATGCAGTCTTGGAGCAATGAAATTTGCTACCAAAAATGTGCAAACTAGTCTGATTATACAGCCATTGTGCTGGCTATCTTGGAGTATCAGAGAGAAGCATGTTGATTGGCAACAGGTTTTCCAGAACATCTTGAGCGATTAGCAGGGGAGCACATGCTGTGGCTGTCTCAGTGTGATTGTCTGCCAGGGTCCTCCCTTCAGCACCACCTCCATAGTTAGGCCAGATCTGTACCATTTCCCGAATCTGAATTTCTCAGGATTATAGGGCTGCTGGGGTCTTAGGAAGCCCACTGTTGGAGAGGAAGGAAAGTCCCCATTCAGTGTCCACCCCATCTGGGTTTGGAGTTTAAGGGAGAAGGGATCTTTGCTTTTATAGAACCCCATTTCCCTATGCTCCTAGCAGCAGGGAATGCAGGAATGCATCATGTGCTGTGCTGGGCACATAGGCAGCACTGGCTCTGTGGGAGCTGCTGGTGCTCACCTCTCCTGGCCTCTCCAGGCTTAGGAGCGAGGAGTGGGCAATGTGCTGTGAGCACAGCCAGGCTTGGGTCTGGCTTCCCACCCTTAGTGGAACCAGTGATATCAATCCTTTTCCTTGCCCTCAGGAAGTCTCTGAGCTCTCTGGCCTTCTCCCCTGATGGGAAGTACATAGTGACGGGAGAGGTGAGTTGTGATCATGATTGAGTAGGTGGGGAGGTGTCTTGGGGCCATTCCTTCTGTCTTCACAGGCCTGGGGAGTCCCTGGAATAGCTCGTTCCTGGGCCACAAAAGCCTCGTGGCAGATAGGGGAGGTAGCTTTGGGGCATACCCTGGGGCAATGCCATCTTCAGCCCTGCCAGCCCTTCTAGCCCTTCTAGCCCTGCTTGGTATCGAAGCCAGCAGCAGTTAACAGCTCCACCTTTCCTAGAACGGGCACAGGCCTACTGTGCGAATCTGGGATGTGGATGAGAAGAGTCAGGTGGCAGAGATGTTGGGCCACAAGTACGGCGTGGCCTGTGTGTCCTTCTCCCCAAATATGAAGCACATTGTGTCCATGGGCTATCAGCACGACATGGTACTCAACGTCTGGGACTGGAAGGTGAGCCAACTGGCGGGTGTGTGGGCAGGCAACCAGCTGCTGGAGCATCCTGGGTATCAGGCTTTGGAAGGACTAAATGAGATAACTTGGTAAAGTGCTCATTCATCCAGCAAATATTTATTGAGCACCTGATCCCTGTTTTAGGCACTTATTGAAGGGCATATGACAAGTGCTCAATTAGTGGGAAAATAATAATAATAATTATTATTATTTTAATATATTTTATTGACTTTTTTACAGAGAGGAAGGGAGAGGGATAGAGAGTCAGAAACATCAATGAGAGAGAAACATCGATCAGCTGCCTCCTGCACATTCCCCACTGGGGATGTGCCTGCAACCAAGGTACATGCCCTTGACCGGAACCGAACCTATGACCCTTGAGTCCACAGGCCGACGCTCTATCCACTGAGCCAAACCGGTTAGGGCGGAAAATAATTATTTTTATATTGACCAGCTGTGACTTTGATCAAGTGACTTAACTTCTCTGTAGGTCTTTTTCGTAAAATGGATATTATAGTATACACCTGGTTGAATTGTGAGAATTCAGTGAATTGATATGAATCACTGGACTCTGGAATAGCTGAGGGAGGACTTGGAATCTGCAGAAGTGGTACCAAGTCCTGGTTCTGTTCATAACCTGCTGTGTAACCTTGAATACATGATATCTTCCCTTTTAGCATGGCAGAGTGGGAGGAGAAGTACCTCCCTTATAGAGCTATTGAGAGGATCCCATGAGTTTTCCAGTGGAGTGCTCAGCAGGGCCCAGAATGGGTGCTCCATTGATGGAAGCCATGGTTGTTATCCTTACATCCCAGCTGTGGCTGTCCTCCACACCAGCAGTCGCCATCCGGTGGTCTGCGGACTACTGGTGGTCCGTGAGGTCCGAAAGGTTGGCGACCGCTGCTCTACACAATGTAGGCTGTAGAGCTTGGGCTCAGGGACAGCTCTGGAACTTACTCTCACGTGGGTACCTTCCCAAGCCTCAGTCTCCTCTGTAGTGGTAATAAGAGTGTCACACAGGTTCTCCCATAGAGTAGCTTACTGGAGGGTCCAAGGAAAACAGACTTGGAGCAGAGGAGAGTGAGGAGACGCAGGGCTGAGGGCAAAGGCTGAAGTCTAATGGGGTGGGTGCTGGCATGAACTTTTCTGTACTGATTCTTCCAGAAAGATATTGTGGTGGCCTCCAACAAGGTATCATGCAGGGTCATCGCCCTCTCTTTCTCAGAGGACAGCAGCTATTTTGTTACTGTTGGTAACCGGCATGTTAGGTTCTGGTTCTTGGAAGTCTCCACTGAAGCAAAGGTGAGTTTTGTCCCTGCCACCTCAGCTAGGCCTGGGGAGTAACTGTCAGGGGCGGAATGGACTCCTGTTTCTTCCTGAGATACGGGGCAGTGATCTCAGGCTGTCTGGCCTCTCAAGCCTGTCTCTGCCTCTGGCCTGCTCTCCAGTGCTGACTGGCAAACCCTGCTAGGAATCTCCCCACTGCACTCCCTTCCTCACTGGCCCTGGGCCAGGCCTTTTTCCGGGGCTGCTGCCTTCCAGCCACTCTGCCTGGAAGTGTGTTCTGTTTTTTTCTTTCCTTCTCCTCCTCTTGGAGGAGTTTCTTAGGGTCCTCCTGTGTAGATGTGTTGTTCCTCTGGTCATGAGAGACCCGTAATGCCGTTGTTAGAGTACAGGTTATGTGAACAATGTCTCACTGTGCCCTGCTATGCCTCCAGGTGACGGGGACAGTGCCCCTCATAGGGCGCTCAGGCATCCTGGGTGAGCTGCACAACAATGTCTTCTGTGGTGTGGCTTGTGGCCGGGGCCAGATGGCAGGCAACACCTTCTGTGTGTCCTACTCGGGCCTCCTCTGCCAGTTCAACGAGAAGAGGGTGCTGGAGAAGTGGATCAATCTGAAGGTACCCCACCTCTCTGCTATCAATGGGGGAAACACTTTTTCCATGACATGATCTCCTGGGACACTCAGCAGTGTTTCTGCCCGGTGGTTGATCATACCAGCTCTGGGTTTGTTAATCCTCACCCGAGGATATTTTTCCCATTGATTTTTAAAAGAGATTGGGGGAGGCGGGGGGAGCGGGAGAGAACATCAATGTAAAAGAGACACATCAATTGGTTGCCTCCCCAGCGCAGAGATGGAACTTGCAACCCAGGTATGTGCCCAATACTGCTGTATACCTCACAGAGTTGATGAGATAATATAGGTAATGCATTCAGCACAGTGCTAGTCCCCTGAAATGGGGTCAGGTTACAATTGCTTTCCTCACCTTTTGATTCAGTTCACATTTCTCTTCTTCATTGAGCACTCTTGGCTAGTAGGACAACTGCATTTTTAAATTTTTAAAATAGATTTTTATTGATTTCAGAGAGAGGAAGGAAGAGGGAGAGAGAGAAAGATCAATGATGAGAGAGAATTATCAATCAGCTGCCTCCTGCACATCCCGCACCCAGGATCAAGCCCACAACTCGGACATGTGCCCTGACCGGGAATCAACTGTGACCTCCTGGTTCATGGATCAACACTCAATTACAGAGCCACATTGGCTGGGCCTGAATTTTTTAAAATATATATATAAAGTATCATTGACTTAATCATTTTCAGTTAAAAAAGACTATACCAAAAACAACATTTTAAACTAAAAGATGATATGTCAATAAATTGCAGAACCACTTTTCTTTTCGTTTGAATCCTCATCTTAGAACTCATGCAGCTTTTAAGCAAGTCAGAAGCTTTTGAGAGATAGATGTGTAGCCCCTGAGCAGTTGTCATAAGTGACTCATAAATTAAGTCCCTGTGAATTTGTAGAAACTCCTCTAATCTGTGTCCAGAGTTCTGGCATTTCCTGACTCTATCTATATGTCCTGGCAGGATACAGTCCTTCCTGTAAACAGTAACTTTTTTCTATGCTGCTTTGAAGTATAATCTCTATGAAGTTGTTTTTAAACAATAGGAAATAAAATTTAAGCCTAAAACTCAACCCTGTTACTGCAAGTGACCTATCTTTAGTCACAGTCTGCTGAACAGATATTTTCCACCCACAGCTGAGTTTTTCTGTAGGTAGCAATGATAACTCTATCCCAGTCTACCTGCTGGCACATTTCCTTCAATAGTGATCTTATGCTATATCCTGATTTCAAAAATTGTAAAATTTACTAAGATGGGCTTCTTAGACCCAGGAAACTATAAGGCTTCTCTGGAGGCCCAAGTTCTGTCAGTCCCCATGTCCCTGAATTGGGCCACACAAAGCACAAAGTTCACTTGGGTCCCCTTTGCCCCCACAGGTCTCCCTGTCTTCCTGCCTCTGTGTCAGCCAGGAGCTCATCTTCTGCGGTTGTACAGATGGGATAGTTCGCATCTTCCAGGCCCACAACCTACATTACCTCACCAACCTGCCCAAGCCACACTACCTTGGGGTGGATGTGGCCCAGGGCCTGGAGCCCAGGTACTACCCGAGGGAAGGGAAAGAGGCCCACCCAGAGTCTGTCTATTGGTATACATCCATACTTTTAGATCCATCTCCATACTAGCCAGCCCTAGGCAGGAAGCAGGATACAGCTATAATGAGGCAGCAAAATCTCTGCCACTGTGAAGTCTTCAGTCTAGTGAGAGAGCTTGATGGTAAACAATTACACAAATAAGATCATTTCAGATAGTCATAAGTGCTTTGGTGAAATAAAATAGGGGCTCATATTTGGGTGGCCAGGGTAAGCTTCTAGTGAGAAGGAGCCAGTTGTGTGGAGAACTGGGTCCTGACAGCAAGTGGAAAGGCCTTAAGGGAATAGCACACTGGGCCTGGTGTGTTGCAGGAATACTGGGCGGCTGTGTGGTTGGAGCCCAGTATGCCCAGGGGAGGAGAATAATAGGAGATAGGTCTGAGAATGGATGGAGGCTGATAGAAGGAGCTTATAGTCTATTTTGAGGTCCATGGGCAGCCACTGGGGATTTCAGGCATTAGCATTATGTGATCAGGCCTGGAGCATTAGATCACTCTGGCTGCCATGTGGAGAATGGGTGGAAAAGCTGAGCTATGACATATTTTCCCTTTGTTGTAAGTCATTTTGTGCGGGCAGAGGAGCTACCTAACCAGAAGTGCTGAGTGCCTGGGGTGACCTCTCTGTAGATTACTGGACACTGCCTCTGGAGTGCCTTTTCTAATAGCCTTGAGGGGGCTATTGGGTGTCTCAAAGGAAAGAGGGTGGGTCAGCAACTCACAGACAGTGGTGTGTTGTAGCAGCCAGGCTGCCCAGCTCTGCCAGCTTCTGCTTTGTGCTGTGTGGCCTCAGGTAGGTCACTGTATCAACTTGTGCTTCAGTTTCTTTATCTATAAAATATAGTACCTACCTATCATGGAGGTTGTGGGGATTCAGTGCAGTTAAAGCTTTTGGCACATAGCAGGTGCTCAATAAACTGTAGGGAGGCCCCAGATCAGGGGACAACAACTCTGCTCCCTTGCACAGAGATGTTTGGTCATGTGTTGGTGGAGCCCATGAGAGAGAAGGCCTGAGGTATGTGCCCATTAACCTTCCATGAGAGAGGACAGAGCTTGGGTTGGGTGAAATGAGTGGAGAAAAATGTTAACAGGAGTTGAAATTCAAATGTTCTCAAAGGCCAAGTGGAAGCTTTCACTTTACAACCTCTGTGTTAGAAACAGAGCAAAGGAAGAGAGAGGATGGAGAAGTGGAGTTGGAGTGGGAGAGATGGACCACCGTGGCATTGACATGAGATAACTCAAGTGTCACCGTGTCACCACAGGCAGCTGTCACTACCCACAGTGACACTGATGGTGATTGATGACCCATGTTGCCTTGTTAGCTTCCTCTTCTGCAGGAAGGCAGAAGCAGTCTATCCGGATACGGTGGCACTGACCTTTGACCCCATCCACCAGTGGCTATCCTGTGTGTATAAGGACCACAGCATCTATATCTGGGATGTCAAAGATATCAACAAAGTAGGCAAGGTGTGGTCAGAGCTCTTCCACAGCTCCTACGTCTGGAATGTGGAGGTGAGTCCCTTTCCCCTCCTCAGCCTTTGTTCAGCCCCCATTTGAAGAAAGCTTCTGCAGAGTTTGGTGATCCCATTTAGCCATTCCTTCAAAGGATGCCCTATTCCTTCAAATGGACTCCAGCTATGTGCCAGGTACTGTTCTTGGTGCTGGGGACACAACTAGGAAGGAAACTGGCAAAAGTCATGCCCTCATGGAGCTCACATTTGAGTGGGAAAGTAAACCCATAAACATCAGTATAATTCATGCCAAGTAGCAGTACCTCTCAGAAGAAAAATGAAGCAGAGTAGGTGAAAAGGAGATCAAGGCTACTTGCTATTCTAGAAAGGAGAGTGGTCAAGGAAGGCTCTTTGAGGACTTGACTTTGAAGCAGAGAACTGCAGGAAGTGAGGGGATGAGAGGCATGTGACCACTTGGGAGAAGAGCAAAGGTCCTGTAGCAGTAGCCTGTGTACCTCAGAGAGCCTTCTGTGGAAGCTGTTTGTGTCATTTAGTGCATTTTTATTTGTGTTGAAGATTTTTTTATTTTCTAAGAATAAATCTGTGGGGATTTTTTCATTCTCTAAAGCTGTACTCCTTGCAAATTAGACAACTGATGGAGAAAGAATTGTATTCTACTTTTTTCCCCTCCTGAAAATATCTTACTACTAGGAATGTCTGTCCTAGAGAACTTGTGTTTTCAATGGCCTAATTCAGAATTGGAAAAAATAACCTAATCCTTTGGAATAAGTATTGATTTAGCCTATTGACTGTTCGAATCCTTCTGCTTTCCTGGATCTGATGCTTCTATTACTAGCACTTTGCTCACTTAACAAGAATGTTTTTAAATAACTTTAAAATTTTATATATAAACTAGAGGCCCGGTGCATGAAATTCATGCGGGGGGGTGGTGATCCCTTCAGCCCAGCCTGCACCCTCTCCAATCCAGGATCCCTCTCACAGTCCTGGACTGCTGGCTCCTAATCGCTCGCCTGCCTGTCTGGTCGCCCCTAACTGCCCCCCACGAAACCGGCAGTTGGACATTCCTCTCACAATCCTGGACCACTGGCTTCTAATCCCTCCCCTGCCTGCCTGCCTGGTTCCCCCTAACTGCCCCCCCCCCGCTGGCCTGGTCACCCCAAACTGCCCTCCCTGCTGGCCTGGTCGCCCCTCATGGCCCCCCCGCTGGCCTGGTCGCCCCACGCAGCCTGCTTGTTCAGTCGTTTGGTCGTCCCTCATTAACCCCCTGCCGGCCTGGTTGTAGGCAGCCATCTTGTGAGGGTGTGAGGGTTAGTTTGTATATTACCTCTTTATTATATAGGATAGGATATGGTCTCCTTGAAAAAAAGTTGTAATATTAAAGGTAAAACTAAAGTCTTTTTGATCACTTCCCCACTGCCAGTCCTACTCTCTCTCACCCATATTATCAGGTTTTTTTTTGTCTTTTCAGTTCATTTTCTTTGTATCTACCTGTTACCTATTTATTATATTTATATATAAATATAAATTTTATTTATTGATTGATTGTATAATTCTGTATGTAATTAAAATATAAATCTTATTCTTATATTATATTTATATATGTGTATATTTATCTCCTCAACAAAAATATCTGTAGATAGATCTTTTTAGGACCTTTTTATCAATTCTGGAAAATTCTCAGCCAGTACAGGTTTAAGAATTGCCTCTATCACATTCTCTCTCTTCTTCTATAAATCTCATATACTATTTCTATTTATCCTTTATTTTTACTTTTAAAAATTATATTTATTTTTTATACTCATTACCTTAAAATTTTTATTTATTTATTTATTGATTGATTCTAGAGAGAGGAAGGAAGAGAGAGAGATAGAAACACTGATTTGTTGTTCCACTTATTTATGCATTCATTGGTTGCTTCTTGTTTGAACCCTGACCAGGGATTGAACTCACAACCTTGCCATATAGGGACAACGCTCTAACCAACTGAGCTATCTAGCCAAGGTCTTATCCTTCTTTCTTCCTTCCTTCCTTCCTTTCCTTCCTTTTCTTTCTTTCCTTTCTTCTCACCCGAGGATATTTTTCCATTGATTTTTAGGGAGAGTAGAGGAGAAAGGGAAAGACACAGAAACATCAATGTGAGAGAAATACATTGATTAGTTGCCTCCTGCACAAGCCCTGACCAGGGCCCTGGCTGGAGAGGAGCCTGCAACCAACGTATGTGCCCTTGACTGGAATTAAACCCAGGACCCTTTGGTCACAGGTCGATGCTCTATCCACTAAGCCAAACCATCTAGGGCAGTGGTCGGCAAACTGGCTCGTGAGCCACATGCGGCTCTTTGGCCCCTTGAGTGTGGCTCTTCCACAAAATACCACGTGCGGGCGCGCGTGTACAGTGCGATTGAAACTTCGTGGCCCATGCGCAGAAGGCGGTATTTTGTGGAAGAGCCGCACTCAAGGGGCCAAAGAGCCGCATGTGACTCGCGAGCCTCAGTTTGCCGACCACTGATCTAGGGCACCCTTTATTTTTAAAGATAAAACAGAGATCTTAAAAAAACCACACAGCCCAGGCTGGGTGGCTCAGTTGATTGGAGCATCATCCTGTACACCAGAAGGTTGTGGATTTGATTCCTAGGTTGTGGGTTCTGTTCTCAGTTGGGGCGCATATAGGAGGCAACTAACTAATGTCTCTCTCTCCCTTCCTCTCTCTAAAAATCAATTAAAACATCCTCAAGTGAGAATTAACCCCACACACAAACACACATATACATAAATAAAAGTACAATTCATTGACTGTCGTTAGCAGCTGTTGATGTTCAATGCCAGATCCATTTATTCATTGGGAATTGCAATATGGTAATATTCTAATTCTATCATTTCTTTTTATATATGTATACTAGTCCCCCCCCCCCCGCCCCAGGTGCACAGATTTGTGCACATTGAAAGGAAATTAATTAAAAGGTGGTCGGCATGGCGGGACTGGGTGAGAAGGGCCGGACACACCCTGGAACCAACCTCCCACGGTCCCTCCACAGCCGGCCATACCTGGGGCGGTGCAGCAGCTTGAAGGTCGTCTGTGGAGTGAACAGGGTCCCTCCAGCAGGTGGGGTCCCTCAGCCTGGCCTGTGGGGATCGGGTCGAAACAAGCTCTCCGACATCCCCTGAGGGCTCCCGGATTGCGAGAGGGCGGTTCTTGGGTGGGTTCCCTCCTCTCTGGCTCCCGGTGCATCACCCAAGAATCATAGCTACCAAGTCACAACAGCTCGGCAGCTCCTGTGTTGAGTGTCTGCCCCCTGGTGGTCAGTGCATGTCATAGCTACCGGTTGGAGCATCTGCCCCCTGGTGGTCATTGCGCATCATAGCTACCAGTCAGATGGTTGCTTAGGCTTTTATATATATAGATATGTTTTTATTGATTTCAGAGAGAGGAAAGGAGAGGGAGCAAGAGATAGAAACATTAATGATGAGAGAGGCCCCACTGGTGTGGCTCAGTGCTTGAATGTTGACCCATGAACCAGGAGGTCATGGTTCAGTTCCCAGTCAGGGCACATGCCCAGGTTGCAGGCTCAATCCCCAGTGTGGGGGCGTGCAGGAGATAGCATTGATGTTTCTATCTCTCACTCCCTCTCTGAAATCAATAAAAATATATATTTTTTAAAAATGATGAGAGAGAATTATTGATTGGCTGACTCCTACAGGCCCCCTACTGGAAATCGAGCCTGCAACCCAGGCATGTGCCCTGATTGGGAATCGAACTGTGACCTGGTTCATAGGTCAGTGCTCAACCACTGAGCCACACCAGCCAGGCTATCATTTATTTATTTATA